GAGTCAGAACTGATTCATTGTACAGAAGAGTCACTGCCCATCTTTCTCCCATGGAGCAGCTCATAGATTCGAACCACGTGCCTTAGAATTGATGGTATAACTTCTTACCACTAAGCCACCAGTACTGAATGACTAGTTACAGTGGGGGAATCAAGCCTTTGCTTGCTATTGCTCATTTAGCTCATGAGAAAATAAGATCAAAATTAAATTATCCAAGGCATGGGCCTAACCCTGCCCAAATTGATAAGCCTTAACTAAGCCAAAACGAGAATAGCCATTACTTACCCAGTCATAATGTAAATGCAACATGGCATGGCCTAACCCTGCCCAAATTGATAAGCCTTAACTAAGCCAAAACGAGAATAGCCATTACTTACCCAGTCATAATGTAAATGCAACATGGCATGTAAATCAGTAACTCTTGTATTGCAAAACAGACAAACAGATTAATGCATGTTGCAAAGGATGGGTGAAGACATCGATTAGGTTACTGATTCAGACCATGAACTTTTTCTCAATATACTGCATTTAACTTTTAAATAAGGTTTAGCAGAACCTGTAACATTTTGCTCACTGACAGAGCTATATTTTACTAAGAACAGAAATTGGCTAGTCTATAAAAATTAAATTATGCCCCTTTCACTGTATCTAGTCAAGAGGAAAAACTCTAATTACAAGATTGCACTGTCAAACAAATGCAAATTCACATTCTTTACATCCTGGTTTAAAAATTCATACTCCAGGGCAGGGTGGGGGTGTCTGATTCTGAAATTAAAGTCAATATTTGAAATATTGTGTGGCCTGCAATGATAAGCCTGAGCAAAAGAAACGTCACTATAAAGGATGTGGGCAAGGAGCTGCTAATTCATTAAGTGCAGAGCATGTGAGAACATGTTATTCATTATGCTAACATTTAAATATCAATTAGTAAGGACAATGAGAGGAGCTGAACCAAGCTCCTCTTTCTCCAAGCTTGAGCCCTATTACCCTAGAAATGACCACAGGCGAAAAGAGTAGGAACTAATGGCAGCACTGAACGGGAACGCCCCACTGGAGAACAGGAAAAGGTTCATTTTCAGTGCATTTCCCACCTGAGAAGTAAATGTACTTGCTTCCAAATTCATAAGAACTGAGTTTGCAGACTTAATCCAGGAAGGACTAACCAAAGGCCTGGGCATATTACATTGCTGCTAAATTTTGGAAAGCGAGCATCTTTCATTACTGCTTAATGTCAGACCTGCCTGGTTCATTAAAATCTCTAGTTTGTTTAAAGCCCTAGTTTTTCTGAACCTGTTAAAAACAAAAAAACAACAAAACCAAAAACCCACCAAAAAAAACTGACAGCTCACAAAGTGGTCAATCTCAAAAATTCTGACCAGCTTTCAAGTTATTCCAACATCCTGCCTCAGCTGCGTGCCCACTTCTGCAGTCCATTCTAGGTGTCAGATGGACTGGGGGACATGAACATTGTCCCAGGCCTTAGACTGTTACCACGATGGTCCTTGCAGTGACCCTGGCAAGTACTTCACTCTGTGAGGTGTTGGCCAGCTGGTCTTACAGCCAAGTTGCTTTCCCAGAAACAGTCTTCTACTGCCTCATGGTCACAATTGGCTGGTGGACCTGGATCTGGCTCTTATTTTCTTCCTCTCTTACATAACAAAGGAGCCTTGGTGGTGTCATGGTTAAATGCTAGATTGCTAACCCCAAAAGGTCAGCAGCTGGAACTCCGGAGCCACTTTACATGAGAACAACAGCAGTCAGTTCCACCTGAGGTTTCTATGGGGCAAGTTCTGGAATCTACTCAAGAGCCAAGAAGGGTTCACAGTACGAAAACATGGGACCAGATCAGCTCAGAGAACTGAAACCAGAATCAACCTGAGATACTCCAGAACACCTAGACCCTCCACAGCTTGCCTGACTGGCCTTCTTCAAGGAGACCCAAGCCTTTAGTTAGATTTGGGGAAAAGCTCCCTGGGGATTTCCAACATGCATGATTTCTAAGAATCGATGGGATCTTACAGCTCTTACACCCTATGATTCTCAGGACAACAGGTATGATTAAGTGTAAAATAAAATCTGACTTTGATTCTGCTAGTCAACAGACATCCCCTTTTCCAGAGTAGAAAAGGTGATCCTGCAATGAACTGAAATGCTGTCCCTGAGATGACCTCAGGAAATGCCAGTTTCAGAGGAGGAGAGCTAGCTCCCCAGGGGAGGGCCTGATGCACAAGGGCTGAGAGTTCCCATTACTGATGAGAGCTCTCACTACACTGTGGCCATTCAGCATCCAGAATTTTAGGTTTATGCTCCATCCACCCCTCATGACAAGAGGAGGGTTACGGTCCAGCAATTACATGAAGATGAAACAGGAGAACTCTGCAAGTGTCAGCCACCTATGAAATACATGCACTTATTTAACTGCTTTCTACTGACTTCATCTCTGGTGGTGCAGTCTGTAGGGAGTTGTGCTGCTTATCCAAAGGTGGTGTCCCTCTGGTGGTTCAAACCCACCAGCAGCTCAGTGGGAGATAAGAGACACAATCTCCTCCCAGGTGACGTATAGCCTCTGAAAAGCAGCTGGAGATCAGCTATGAGTGGGCTCAGGACAATGAGTTCAGGGAGGCTCAGAATGCTTTGCCTCCTATCCATCCTATTCAAAACTGGTGTTCTCTTTCACTCTATCATCTTACATTTGTTTCTCAAAAGCCAGAATTGAGATTGCTTTTTTTTTTCACATCTGCCTCTTTCCACCTTTTGACCTCTAACACATGGTCAGAGGAGGCTGGCTTGGAGAGGAGGTGCCCATCTGGACAGAGCTGAAGGAAAGGTCCAGCTCAGGCCATGTGCCTAAGCTTCTCTGTGCTGCATCTTCTGATGGATGGCATAACGGGAGCCTCAGCACCTGCCCTGTCTTCCTCACAGCCTGGTTTGGAGGGAATGAAGCAGATGAAAAGCAACCCTTTGAAAATGGAGCGTGTGGTGTTCATCTCAGCTACACATTCTGAAAGGAAAAGAGGTGGCTCAGGAAAAAGACACTTCAACTGACTGGAATCTGACTCCACATTCTTTTCTCTCTTTGTTTCAGCCATCTCCCAGGTAAGCACACTAAAGCACAGTCCTAGCTAGGCAATACCCTCAAGGATTCTGAAGAAGTTCCTGAGGTGACCACAGTATGTCCCCATTTTGCCTGGCTCTCAATGGCTGCCTGGAAGAAAGCTGCACATATTTGAAAGCAGTAATAAAAATGTTCAAAGTGCTTCTGACTAAAATCACTGTGATTCCTCTGGTTCAAGCACAGTAAATTTTTGCTCAGGTATAATGCTCGGGAACAAAACACAAGTTAAAAAGAAAAGCTTTGACAGAATCATCCATAACAATTGTAGCAAAAGATTCCTCACTAATTTGCTTTCTTACACTCTTTTTCCACCAACAGTCAAACACGGTATAAGAAAACAATATATATTGCTTTACTTGGGACAAGTGACTCTTGAGAACAGGTCTGGCTCGGAATGATTTTGACAGAAAGAATTTGCACCTTGGCTGATAAAAGTAACATTAAACTGTATATGCATGCACATGCACCTCCCTCCCATTCCCACCCCACAGTACTGTGGAAAGCGACCATTGGAGCCTAAATATGATTAAAAACACATTTCCAGATTTTTCTCTGAGATGAAACACTGTCCCCAAGGTGTGTGCTCTAAAGCTAGAACCACTACCTCAATTTGCCTGATTTAAGGGAACCCCTTAACAAGTCACTGAGGTCTGTTTGCATTTCTCCAAATGGAAGAAAAGCAAGGTTCTGGTGTTCTGGTTCACTATTTACCATGTGAGATCATTTCCAATCTATGTAATAATGAAAAATAACACAAAAAACAAAGACAACAATCCAAAATCCAACTCATTGCTATCAAGTTGGGAAATAGCTGATCTTCTAGCAAGTTTTCAAGGCTGTAAATCACACAGGAGGAGATCTTTCTCTCCGGAAGCTGTTGGTGATTTTGAACCACTAAAGAGATGTCACCTCTGGGTTAGCAGCACTGCTCCCTACAGACTAAGAAACCATCAGAAACAGCACAATTGCCTTTAATGGGATTTTCTGACCTTGGAACTGAACCCACAATTCTCCCATTCCACAAATGTCCCAATTACACTTAGTAAACTTTGATTAAAGACTTTTAACAAGATGGACTGACACAATGACTGTAACAATGGGTTCAAGTGTATCAGACAGGAGGAGGCACAGGATGGCTCAAGGCTCACTGACCGGGTCACGATGAATCAATGAATCATACTTGACTCTATGGTATCTAAGAACAGCAAACTTTGATTTCTGTCACAACAAATTTAGGGGGTTCCACCCCAGTGAGAAGACTGGATTAAGGAGTGTCCACTTCCACAAGCCCCCTCTCCCCTTCCATTACATCCACACACCCCCATCCACCAGGTAGCAGCTAAACTGGTGGAGCTGAGAACTGCATTCCTCTAAAGAGCTTAGCAGTTGGTGCTTGGAATTAGATGCATTAGCTGGAAAATGAAATACAGATCCTGTAGTGTTCTTCAAAGTTATATGATGTGGCTCTATGACAAAACACATTTTTCAAGCTCTGACCTCTGGGAACTTCCACCAGCTCCGTATCTCACGTTCCTGTGTAGCTGCCCAAGCCAGGCCCTGGTTATTGGATTTTACTCAGCCTTCTGATCAGCTTTTAAGAGTGGGAGGAGGGGGGAGTAAATAAAGAGGAAAGCCACTAATTTAAATGCACTTCCCCTCCCAAGTCCCTTGGGGACAAGCCCTGGTAATTAACTCTAATGAGATTAAAGTAACTTGGAACTCTCCATTTCCCAGCACTGTAAATCTGAGATAACTAGTGTGTGTGTGTGTGCAGGCGCCTGGGCGCGCTAAATCAACTTTAGTCCCCTTTCCCTTGATTTAAGGCCCTCTCTCCCGCCCAGCACCACTGTCCTCTGATGAGGTGGGGGGAGCCGCCCGCCCTTACCCGCACTTTGCTCCATCACTTCTTTCTGGCACATGTCTTGAACATTCACTGTGCAATTCACAATAAACTCGGGGGAGGAGCAGTCGTTGTTGAGCTGAAATTCTTCACACTGGTAACACTGGATCTGCAGCGCAAAGCCTGGGGGACAGACACAACTAGGTTCAGATCTGGCCCCAAGAGCTCCTGCCTTAGCTCCCTGTTGCTCCGGCCTCCGGAATGCCTGGGTCTCCACGCAGGGGCGGGATGTGGCTGAGGCCGGCAGGGGGCATCGCGGGCAATGAGGGTCCCGAAGGCCCAAGTGAGATTCTGGTCAGCTACTCCAGGACCGCAGCTCCACCAGCAACAAGCTCATCCAACACTGCCCTTTTCCAAGGAAGTTAAATGGCAAGGAATACAACCGGAACAAGTCAAGTCGTCTCAGATACGTGTGTCGGAGCTAGTCTGTACCAGAAGAATTGCCTAATTGCTGATTGGTTACAAATTACTTAATTACTATTTTGGCATCACTCACGATCGCATTCTCAGCCGCCTTTCCAGGTTTATTTAATGTTTGAAATCAGCCTTCTGGCGTTGTGGCTGCAGTGCTCCGGGTACGAGCACCCCGGAACCGCGGAGGAGGCGCTGGCGCGCGATGCTGCTGCGCCCCTGTCTCCTCGCGCAGTCCGGGCAGCCCTCTCGGGTGGACGAAGCGGGCAGAGCAGGCCTGGGTTCCTGCACCACCACCTCCTTTCCCTGGGACTTTAGTTTTCGGGGCAACTGGTGGCTGGGATCCGTGGCTGGAGTGCTGGCTCTGCGGAACTCGGGCGCGAGCTGGACTGCCAGGTGGACAGAGGCGAGGCGCCCGCACGACTCCTCCCGCCAGTTTGGCTGGTCTGCTCGGGTCGAGCCATAAATGACCCCTTCCCCCGTCCCCCTAAGAGCCCCGCACCGTCCTCCAATCCCACCTCGGTCGCCTTCCACGCGCGACAGCCAAGCCAGCGCGCCCAACCTCAGGTGGCTCCGGGCGCCACTCACCTGACCGCGGCGCCACCCCTGCGCTGGCCGGTGATACCTGACAGCAACTTGGTGGGCTTCGCGGGGGGAAGGCCGCCTCTCTCCTCCACCGAGCCCAGTACGGCCAGAAAGCCCCCTTCCCTCCAGGCCACCTTCTGCTCCCGATGCTTCCGCCCAGGACGCCAGGGACCCACGAACCCGCGCTCTCCCCGCAGCGCGGACTTGGGAGACTTTCCCAGCCCGGCGCCTCGGACCGCCGCCACCGCCAGACCGGAGGGCGCACGAGCCCCACGGGGATCCGAGCAGGACGCTCGGGGACGCAGGGCTGTGCCATGGGGGCACCTCGCCTGCCTTCTGGCCCCTGAGGCTTTTTTTCTTACCTGGAGGCAAAAACAATCCGCAAAAAGTTGCGGCGATGCCGAGGACCCACATCCTCCCGGAGCCGCGGGACCGCGAACGGGGAGGCGCATCAGAGGCGTCGACGGCGGCAGTGGCTGCCTGGGCCTCACTGGCTGTGGCTGCCCAGGCTGCCGGGGGTCGCGCTGCTGCCTCCGAGACGCTGGGCGCCGCCGAGAGGAGCCGCAGGTGCCGCCGGCGGCGTCCGCATCGCCCGGCCCGGGCTCCCGGCTGCGGGTCGCCGCTCCGCCCGCTCGTGCTCTGGGCTCGTGCGTGGCGCCTCCGGAGTTGGTGACAGACTGAAGCGAACTACTGGCGATCCAGAGCACCCAAAAAAGTCTCGCCTCTTCTACCTCCCACTCCTGGCACCACGTGACTGCTGCCGAGGCCGGGTGGGGGTGGCGGTGGCAGTGGCGGGCGGGGAAAGCAGGACCCGGGCTCTCCACACCCCTAGCTCCCCACCCCCTTCCTGTCGCCCGCCCCTCGGTCCCCACCAGTCTCCAGAAAGGGGACGAGCAGGATGGTTAGTTTAGGAGGGTACTGGGGGCTGAGAGAGTAGCAGGGGCCTCGGGGACCCGCCAGACGCGCGCTGGGGGACTGGTGAGATGGGGAAGAGGGAGGCGGGTGGAGCTGGCTCACGGTGCGTAAAGACCCGACTCATACCCGCTGCGCCCCCAGGATGATGGCCACCCGCACGGCGGGGACCAGCCATGCAGCCTGGACTGCGGTGCTGCAGGCAGCCGGAGCGGGGCGCAACCCTCGGCGTGCGGGAGGCGGGTTCCCAAAGTTGCGCACCCACGCGCTCCCGGGGCCCGCGGCACAGCCACGCCCCCCTACCGGAGAAGCCCTCTCCCCGGTAGCTGTCCCGCTGGGCTTCATCTGCTGGGAAGGGTGGTAAGGAGAGTGGTGGGGACCTGGCTGGTCGCAGGGCTCGCGATGATCCCCTCGGACGCTCATCCACCAGTGCGCCCCGGGGAAGGGTGCTCAAGGCGCGTCCACCCTGACCGCCTGTTCTAGGAGGGGCCGTCCGCAGCACGACCTCCACAAGCTCTCACCAGAAATGCTATTGCCTCTCCTCCCCCTTCTTCCAAAAACGCTGGGTGTCTCCATCTTGTCCCCAAGATCGCAGGGTCTTAGTCCTCTTCGCCAGGCATCATTCCTGTCCAGGACCTGCACTGGCTGCCAGGCGTGGTCTTCCGGGCCCCTCCCCCGCCAGTCCGCCTCCCTCTGCCACGTCTTGGCTACCCACCTGGCAGGCTCGGGGGACTCCGGGGCCACCTCGTTGCCAACCCTGGCTGCAGGTGGTGCTGGCACCCGGGGCCCACTGCGCGCTTTTATGTCCCCGCCTCCCATCTGGCACGCTCCTGCGCCTTCACTTCAAATCCTCGGGGACTTCAATTCCTGGGGAAATCGGCCCTCCAGCTTTGCCCTCTTCCCCTCTGTCCACCTGAGGGAAGCTTCCCCTCGCTGGGACGCTGATCATTTGTTTCCCATTCTGCAGGGCTGGTCTGGAAGTCAGCTTGAATGACTTCTAAGTAATTCCTTCCCGAAGATCTCTCCTTTCTGCCGCTGGCGATTTTTTGCCTCCCCCTCCCCCGTTCCTTTCCTTTCTAGTCGTTAACCCCTTGGGGAAGCCCGGATGTTTTGACCATTACTCGCTTGTCTGCAGACTCTGATCTTACAATGCTGAATTACTATTACCAGAGCCCAAGGTCCCCGTTTATTTACTCTTGGGGGAATCCATGCCTGAATTGTATGAGTCACAATTCAAATAACTGACTGGGCCAAAGGGTCCTTTAAGGAGTTATTTTAAGCTTTGGTGGTGTTTCCCTGTTACCCAAAGTCTACTGCTTTTGGACGGTTCAGCTCCACCAGAGGCTCCATGGCATGCAGATGGGTAATCTCCTCCAGTGCGATTTGCAGCCTTGGAAAACTATGAAATCTGTTCCGACTCGATGACAGTGAGTTTTGAGATTTTTAAAGGGTCCATAGGTATAACTGTCAGAAAACTTTTATTCAGGAATGAAACAAAAAGGATTTTCAGAAGGGTGAACAGCAATGAAACTTTACATAATTTTCATTTAAGATAACAAAATTCAAATTAACAAATTGCACAAATTAACCAAATAGTGTAACACTGATCATACAATACTCTTTAAAGAAATAAGTGTGTGCTAAAGTAGCCATAGTTCTAAAAATATTTCTATTCTGCCTAGTTTACAAGTTCCTGTACAAAGATAATTATAAATAGTCCACATCTAGGAAAAATACACATAACCTTTAAAATAGAATTTATCCTTACATATAAACAGTCTTTATAGAAAAAGCACTATTAAAAAGTAGTGATTTTTGTAGCACCAACCATTCATTTTATTTATGTTTTTTTTTTAAAACAAAGTGAATATCACAAGTAGGAATTGGCTTTTATTTCTGGATTGCCCAGTTGGATTCAAACCACGTGCCATCAGGACTGCAGCTCAGCTTGTTACCTCTAGGCTACCAAAGCTCAAAGACCAGGAAGATTAAAAATCAACAGTGTTCAGAAAATCAGAGAAGCATTAGTAGTAGACAAACATGTGGAGGGAAAGCCCAGACTGGCCTTAGACTATTTCTGACACACACATCCTTTTCCATCAGTGTCACATCCTTTCCATTTTTCCATAAAAGCAGGATTACACTTTTTACTACAACGTGAATCTCTCTGGCAGTGATTTTGAAATTTCATGAGAATCAGAATGTCTATCAAGTTTAGACTGTGAGATGAAAAGTAGAAAGCTCCTTGTGGTTTTCCAGCAGGCCCTGTTCAGAGTTTACTGAGTATACCTGAAAATAAGTCGACGACTCATTTAATGAATGTAACCAAAAAGCTCCAGTTGGAAATGAATATATATATATATATACATTATCATTAGTGTCTAAGCTTAAAACATCCTTTCAAGAGCATGACACTGAATCAATTTATTGCTGTCATTCTTTCTGCCTCCACTACAAATATAATTTCTTTCCCAAAAAATTTACAACTTCTGTACAAGAATTCAAAAAAAGTGCAAAATTAAGACTTCCATGTCGTGCGTGTGTGTACATTTAGTTTTTATGAAACACAACAGATGGAGTCTATATTTATTGCTGTGTCAGAGACCAACTCCAGTGGGTTACTTGCCATTAATCTGACAAGATAAGCTCTGGTGTTGTAATAGTTTATTGTTGTCCCTCCCCCCAACCATCATATTTCTTAATTGTTCCATTCCCAGCTCACTAAAGGGGTATGGGATGGGGGCAACAGGCTTTTATATATCATTTGAACCCTGACTTGCACAGGAAGAGAAGCTATCAAATAAAGAATCACTCAGAGATTCCATATTGTCTATTCCAGGCCTATGTGAGCTGTTCAAAGATGCCTCTTCAGTTTTTTCTTTTTCTTCTTTTTGTCCTTCAACCTCGCAAAGAGAGTTCCTCTCTTTTTCCAATAAAACCATAGCATTGCTGTTAAATTTGAATGACTCCAGGGAAATTTTAGATAATCTATTCTCAGGCTCTTCTTTTATTTCTTCAACTTGTTTCGATTTCTGCAATAAAAAGAGGAAAATATTAGAAACATATTTCTTTGGAAAATCAAGTTATCCCATCCAATATTCAATTATTGTCTGTATAAAGTTCAGTTTAAAGGAATAGAGAGAACCTACAAGTCTTTAACAATCTTCTAGTGTAATTAAATGTAATAATAAAGCCAACTTTAGGGATAAATCAAGACTTTAATCATTTTACTGAGATAAATAGGTCCCAATTCACAAACCAGTTAAGTGCCACTTAATATCATTTTAAATGCATCTATTTGAAATTTGTTCAGGTAAAGTGCCTTATTTTTCTTAATCAAAGTTTCAGACTCTTCCTTTTCTTTGCTAAGTTCTTGTTGTACTGTCTCTAAATAAAGATAGGGTTTGAATTTTAGCCAAAAGTTAAGGTTCTCTGGGAAAAAAAAGGCATTTAAATATTTTAAATTGCCATGAAATGTAAGTGCTTATTAAAGTTAGAAGCACTTGTTAGAAGCAATGCCATGTTTTTATTTTGTACTTTTATGTGATGTAAGATGTTTGAAAGAAATCTTAGTATCTGAGAGTAAAGCTTCCAGGGGCCCAAAGCCTTCAAACTCTTAATGTCGCTGTTGTTATATGTTGTTGTTATGAGTCAGAACCAACTCATAGCTGATTCTCCAATGGGATTTTAGGGGCTTGTAAATCACGTAAGAGGAGACTGCCCATCCTTCTCCCTTTCTGCAACTGGTAGATTCAAACCTTGTGCCTTTGGGTTGAAGGCACAACTCCTGACCACCAGGCCACCAGAGCTCCCTTCACCAGAGCTTCCTTTCCTTACAGAAATGGAGCTCTGGCTGTGTAGTGGTGTTAGGGTGTTACCTGAGAGGATGGCAGTTTGAACTCACCACCTGCTCTGCTGGAAAAAGATGAAGCAGTCTCCTGTTAAGACTTACAGCCATGACTAACAGGCAAGATGAACAGACACGGCCAGGTGATGAGGACCACACCTATGAGCACACATAGTTTTCATGAATGGTATCTCTACATTCAAATAATTAAGTTGTTGCTGTGTACTATTGAGTCAGAATTGACTCATAGCTTACCCACTAGCAGATTTTCAGAGGCACTTAATCACACAGGAAGAGATTGCTCAGAGAAGCGGCTGGTAGATTTGAACCACATGCCTTCTGATTGCAGCACAACTTCTTACTACTAGGACACTATGAATGTTATTGTTATGTGCCATCGAGTTGCCTACTACCCATATTGACCCTATGTACAACAGCCCTAAACCCTGCTCATTATCCCAGGCTCTGAATCAGTCCATCTCATCTTGAGTCTTCCTCTCTTGTACTGTCCCTTCATCCTCGCAAGCATGACATCCCTCTCCAAGAACTGATCCTGCCTTGTAACAAGTCAGACTCTTTGCTTCCAAGGAGCAGCCTGGTCTCACCCTTTCCAAGATGAACTTGTTTATTCTCTTAGCAGTCCATGATATATTCAATACTCTTCTCCAGTACCACAGCTCAAAGGCATCAATTCTCTTTTTATCATCCCTAGTCATTGTCCAGCTTTCTGATGCATAGCAAGCAATTGCAAAGACCATGGCCTTGATCAGGAGCACCTTAGTCTCCAGACTGATATCATTGCTCTTCAGTACTTTGGCGAGGTGTCTGACAGCAGACTTTCCCAGTGCAATTCGCCTTTTGATTTCCTAGCTGCTGGTACCAAGAATATTGATTCTAGT